AAGAAAGTTAAGTAGAAATATGTGATATTAAACTTGAAGTTGTTAATCAATAAGTTCATGTAAGTAGGTTCTGATTATTGGTAAAAAAAGTTGATAAACACCATAATTTCTAAAAACAGTCGTAACTTCTTTTAAAAATAAGATATTGTCGTGAATCGAAAACTTTCGTGTTAAGAAGGAATCACACTTCAATCCGAAGCATAATGAAGCCATGTTCAATCACGCAATTTCGCCACAGGGCGTTGAGAAGTATAGGGTGATGGGGTAACTTTGGTTTTTCCCTGTATACTGATCAAGTCAGCTTTTCAGGAAAACTAATATTCAGGCTAACATTCCGAGACATGAATCTACGATTTGATCTGAATTTCACAAAAATCCGACAAGGATTTAAAAAATTATAGTGTGAACAATATGGGCAAATTTCATGAAGGCCAGTTTATTTTGCCGGTGAGTGTATAAGCCCATCATCAGCCGAATACAACAATTAAGTTCTAGAAAAACCAACAATAACATAGGATATACAGTGTGACCCACTTCTAATGGAACCATGCACCCCTGTATCTTACGTAATCGTTGGGTAATAAGGATCCTGAAATTTGCTGGAGCGAGAGATATACCAAAAATGCACTCTATGACCAAGTGGGGTCATCTTCAGCGATATACACTGCTCGCCAACAGCCATGAAACTACCCCAATTTCCGGAAAATGATATTAGGAGTCAAAATAGGTCGAAAATCACTTCAGATTTGGAATCAGGACGCCCAATTTACTAACTATTCAAATTCTTCCTGGAAATTTTTCAGTTCGGAAAAATTAAATTTTGTCGCATTTTTTATGGAAGCACCCCCGTATCTCACGTGATTGACTTTATCTTTGGATTTTCTCTTCCTCCGGCAAATTTCAGAACCCTACCTCAATAATTACGTGAGATACGGGGGTGCTTCCATAAAAAATGCGACAAAATTTCATTTTTCCGAACTGAAAATTTTCCAGGAAAAATTTGAATAGTTAGTAAATTGGGCGTCCTGATTCCAAATCTGAAGTGATTTTCGACCTATTTTGACTCCTAATATCATTTTCCGGAAATTGGGGTAGTTTCATGGCTGTTGGCGAGCAGTGTATATCACCACTTGGTCATAGAGTGCATTTTTGGTATATCTCTCGCTCCAGCAAATTTCAGGATCCTTACCCAACGATTACGTAAGATACAGGGGTGGTTCCATTAGAAGTGGGTCACACTGTAGATACAAAGAATACTTACTTACATGGAAATGAAAAAGTTGAAAAATTGATAATTTAGACAATAAAATGGCACAAGACACAGACGTATGCGCCATGCCATTTAGTCTCAGATTCTTACCTCTTGCCTCTCTTTCCCCCAGCGCTGATGACCCTGATCGAGGAGAAGATCCAGCCGTGGATCGTGCCCGCCATCTTGGAGCACGAAGAGATCCCCGGCACGACGGGCAACCGTCCGGCAGGCCTGAGGGGCCGTGCGGGTAGCACTTCGGGCAGCTTGGACAGTCCAGGCGGCGCCAAACCGACCGCGGCGCTGCTGCAGGAGCTCACCAACCATCACAAGGTGAGAACGGATCTATGAGAGAGTTTTTGATTGCCGACCGGTTGCGACCACTTGGACCACACTGCAGGGATTTTAATCAGGGTTACCGACTTTATGATAAACATCGCATCACTCATGAAAATGATCGCCAAAATCGCAGATTCTCCAACAGCGAGTGGAGCGACTGTGACGTCGGACTGACGTCGAAATGTCGTCAAAATTACGTTCAAATTTGGTGATGACACGTGAAAAAGTTTCCTCGAACATGATGTGATAATCACCACTGACGTCTGATGACATATACTATTGATTAGGCATTGTTGAATTTGCTTGGTGGTCCCTTCGGTGTCATGTCTATTCAATCGTCTATTCAGCAGCGCAATCTCTCAGTACGCATTTCCATCAGAATGAAATCAGTTACTTGTATTTGTATCAAAAATTATGTAATTTGTGGGTAGACGAAAACCTATTTATAGTAGCTTTCTTACAGAAATGAGAATTTCAAATATTCCCAATAAAATCATAGTTTCGATCCATTCTTGACAGTATTATACACTCCCTGAATGAAATTTTGGAATGATTTTATTTTCAATGCTTTGTGCATGGAAAGGTTTGGTTCTTGTACCGAAACGCATCATTTTATCACATCGCGTTTCGAAAATATCATCTTCAGGAGTCCCCTTTCAGGGGGCCGTAGCTTCCTTTGGAGACATTTATCGACTTGAATTAGTTGAAATTTTTCGTCCTATGTTTGATCGTAGAAGCAGCTGATGAAGTTTGGCAGGCTAATTTCAGGACACTCTGTATACAGGGTGATTCCGGTTTCAAGGCACAAACTAGAATGTATGATAGCGGAGCTACAATGAAGTTATCAATTTGAAATTTGGTGAGGTTGTTACTTCCTAGATCATCATTTTTACCATTTCAAAGATTTTCAGAATCCACAAGGTGATACATTTTTGGGGGTACAGTCTTCTTTATTCCCCCCAAACTTTTTCTTAGTACACCCCTGACATCATCTAGTTACCGGATTATATGAATTGATCAATTTTGAGGCCTTTATTGAACTTCAATTTTTATCGAGAAACGAACCGTTCTACAACATGTTAAACTTATTGCCTATAGGTTTCGCTTGAATTTTATTCTTGGAGAGAATTTAACCAACTTCAGAAACTAAAAAAACCTTGACCTCCTACCCTCTGTATCCCCGCTACTGATTCAGTTTGTAATTTCAATATAATTCATTGCATTTTCTACAAATTTCGTCCAATAATAAAATTCAAGCGAAACACTATGAGCGAAATGCAAAATTAACATGTTTTTTGAATGGAAACAGCTTTTTTGTCGACCTCTAGAAAAAATCCCATTTTAAGTTACAGTCCTGACCGTTTTTTGTGCAGTACAGTTCTCTGTATACTCAAATCTTATAAGTACCTACCTATGTAACTGTATTTTGTGATATTTGTGAGTATTTTTGAATTGAGAATTAGGAATATGAGAATGTTTTTTTGTTTGTTTCTTTTGTTGGAAACAGGTTACTTTTCTGTTTACTAAGCGAACATAATGTTTTGACGTCATAGGTTTAATTAATTTTCCTTTCTGTGAATTTTGATAGCATGAAATAGATCTTAAACAGATCTATTGAAATCTACTGAATTCATGACAAGGTAGAGTGGGTTGACAACTGTCATTTGTTGTTGTCAAATTAATTATTGACGAAATCCGATAGATTCCACGCATGAATAGGACCGTGATGGGAATATGAGTGTTTGAGGTCCACAAAAAAATTTAATATGCACCTCGGCGGAAACTGTGTATTGTCTCGCCTGATGACTATAATGGACAGTGTTTCGTCCTTGGTACATAAATAACTATCATTCAAACGCTCTGAAATGAAGAAGATATAACTTTCCATTCAAATTTCAACTATCAATTTATTAACTTATTTTTCCGTTGACCTCGTAATAACGAGTAAGTTTAATGATGAAATCGTTCATTAATGACCCCTATTAATGAACGATTTGTCTATTAATGTATGATTGTTTTATAGGCAACCAAACATACACCGCGTGCATTCATTGTTTATGCTATAACTTACGGAATCTGCATTTAAATCGGAAATATGGATTTCATCGAAGATTTTCCGTTAACGGGTTCGCCTTTCCAAGTTTCTGACACGATTTCAATCCCTGTTTTCTAACACAAGGAATTTATTTCCTATGTTGATCATTTCGACAAATGTCAAATATCACTAATGTCAGTAACAAGGCTACTGGGTGATTCTTAGCAGTTTCCGGATGAATGAAGAAGTCGCGAACCAAGCTTTCTTCATTGCAGGAGAAATGAGAAATATAGTCGACGGAAAAATTTTGTAACCAACTTGTATATTAAAAGGCGATTAATACACTAGTTGGTTAATAAATAACTAATACACAATTTATATGATCATGAAAGCTTTTCGTACGATTTACTTGTGTAAAAGAACTAGTACTAATTTGATTATGTGAAATCTATTTCTAAAATTTCAATGTTCATGAATATCGATCATCGCGACAAGCTTTAATAATCATATTGTCGCAACCACAGTAAATTATCCATTCACGAGTCGCAACTCAGATGTTGACCCTCCTATAGGTCGTAACTTAGCTACTCGCTTGGCTTTTTGACGAGAGGTTTCGATCATTTCACCACCCAACTACATTCATCCCCAAATAAAGAGTCAAGACAGTTTCCATATAAAATTTGACATTTATTGATCAAATGGAAAAGTCGTGGATAAATGCTTGCCACATAGCAGGTTACCAAAGAAAAAGAACATAATGGCTTGCCAAATGGAACACAACGCAAAACAACACTTTAAAAAAACAGTACTTACATTACAACGTCTAGATGGGGTTGACCAGCAGGATTGAAGTCGGGGAGACGGTGAAAATTTTTAATTGATAATTACTCATGACTTGTATTGATAATAATGATGCCTTATCGACTCGGGTACTATTTATATTCGGAATCGATGCTGGGTTCGCAATTTTCCGCAATGGGAATGGCCAATACCTTTCGATATTGCTCACCTAGGTATTATCGCACGGTGAGCGGTTTTTGCGAATTCTACAGGAACTGACGTCTATGAACTCCGCTGACCTGATCGAAACTACATTGTACTAGATGTTCTAACTTGGAAAAGTTAATTTATAATTGAAGATCTTGAAATGAACGCGAGGTTGAGTGATGTTATTCCATAGGCATTTGTACTTCTTGACAATATAAATTGTTTATAATGAGGATATAAGTTGATAGTTAAAATTTAAGAGCATATAATAAAAATGACTCAGTTCAGCTATCGAATATAATATTTTTATTTCTTGTGTACTTTCTGCAGATTTTGACGTTCTACGGAGTTGATCCGGAGGTGATATCGTTGGTCTTCAAGCAGGTGTTCTATTTCATATGCGCATCGAGTTTGAACAACCTGTTGCTGAGGAAAGAGCTCTGCCATTGGTCCAAGGGCTGCCAGATCAGGCACAATCTGTCGCATTTCGAAATGTGGACCAGAGAGAACAATTTAGATGTGAGTATTTCATCGATCAACATTTTTAGACATATATCTACTTTTTTTGAGAGATAAAAAAAATAGTTGAAATATCTGACAGAAATCAACTAGTTCCCAGCGAGCACAAAAAAATCTCAGAGATGTTAAAAGTACGAGATTTCGAGACATTGAACCTCCACTGCGATGATCTGTTCACACATGAATAGAACTATTATATAGAACAGCCAATGTCCGCCGCAGGCGGCAATTATCGAGATGTCCTTGATATGTCACAAAACTACCTTCTCCCTAGTTCTTTTCAAAGCCTTTTCATGGACACAACAGAACATTTTCAACGCGTCTTGCGCACATTAAATCGCTGTGAAAAAACCATTTTCGAGGTACTTTTCTGAAGCCTTTTGTCAAAATGAACTTTTGCATTAGGATTCTATTTCCCTTGAATGAAAAAATGCATTAAGAATAGATTGAACATAAAAATATTTTCTTGATATGAAATTACCTTCTTAATCGATTTCTGAGTAGTGCTTACTACACACAGACATATATTTGGAAATAGGTTTCCCAATTTTTGAAATTTTCTCCACAATGCATAATTTTGCAACTGCGGAGAAGCTGTGTATTGATGAATTCGTACTTTTATATATTGATTACACTGAGGCACCGAACAACACATCTTGCATCTGATGGTCATTATTACAAACTAAATAAGTCTTTTAACACAATAAACTTCACCAAATTTCTTTCGTTAGCAGCGTGATGTAAGCGTGACACGCTGCAGACGCGAATGCCAATTGCGAACAAGAAGAACAAAATCGAAAACAAATCAGAATTCATCGTATTGTGACGTAAGCATGAGACGTTGTGGTGGGACAAACAAAGAAAGGGCACAAAAGAACAAAAACAATACTTTCAATATCCTTCTAAGACCTCTTTGGGAAGTGCATATTACGCCTCAAAAAAACATCCCCATGTCTACATTTCTAAAACATCCCAAAACATCCCAGGGATACCTCTCAGTAGGCAAACAAAGAAATGCCACAGAAGAACAAAAACAATACTTCAATATCCTTCAAAGACCTCTTTGGTCAGTGCATATTACGTCTCAAAATAACATCTTCATGCCAACATTTTCAAAACATCCCAAAACATCCCAGGGATGTTTGTGCTCGCTGGGTTCCTTGGCTAATACCACAGAAGATGGGCCTGGCGGAGACTGACACGCTTTTGCAACAATGCGACAGAAACCGCGGTACACATACTTTGCCCATGTGAAGTATTAGTCTGCCAAAGGCTGAACCACCTAGAACAGGTCTATCTCACACCTGCTGAGGTGGAAAATTCAACCGCCAGGAAAATTCTAGGCTTCTTTAGAAGTCTAGGGTTAGAGGACCAAAACTAGATCAATAGATCTTCTAGGTCGCAGTGATCGAGAGGTCTCCAAGCCTATACGACCCATCTACAATCTACAAACGAATCAATGTTTAATGATTTCCTCACATTTTTCCTATCAGGAGGAATCGATCCGGTCGACGTTGCGGCCCATCGTGCAGGCCGCCCACCTCCTGCAGGCCAGAAAGACCGATGAGGACGTGGAGAGCGTGTGCGAGATGTGCGACGCTCTAACGCCGCTGCAGATCTGCAAGGTGCTCAACCTGTATACGCCTGTCGACGAGTTCGAGCAAAGGGTGCCGGCGTCCTTTATAAGGGCGGTGCAGGAGCGGCTGAAGGGGCGGCCGGACGCGCAGGCGCAACAGGTAAGTGTCAGAAAGAGTGCGGAGCACAGCATTTATACGCTCGCCTAGAAGGACAATACATACGGATGCGCGAAATAGTATTGAATTTTTTTTTATTGGAGTTAAAAACAGTTCGTTTTACATGTCCATGGTGGTACACTATAATTTTTTTCAATTTGTGTGTGTACCAATAGTTTGTTCACCAAACAGCTAGTGTTTTTACAATTTTACATATAAAATACAATGAATTTCTTAAGTTCTTCGACTAAATAAAAATTTAAAAAAGAATACTTAAAAATATGTTAAAAAACGAGATTTGGTATTCAAGCCTAGTCTTAGAGGAAAGAAGAAGAAGTTGACTTTGATAGTGAATTACAAAGATATGATGAACAGTACAATAGGTGAATGATAAATAGTGAGATGACCAGATGACCCAAGTGGTATGGAACTTGTGTGTTTGCATACAGAATATGCCATTTGTTAATTATATGTTCTATTATATCAAGACTATCCATTGGTGAATCTTTTTTTTTACATTTTTATATGGTTTACCTTTGATTTCTAATGGTAGCAGGTTGAATAGTTTTATACCAATATAGGAGATATGTTTTTGGGTGGCTGAGAATCCATTAATTGGTATTGTCACATTTTATTCTGTGCTGCTCTAGTGGTATTGTGTGAAATAATTTTTTTATATTGAGTATTTCTCAACATAAATCTTATAGTTGCTTTTACGAATAACTGCTTAATTGCCAGGACTTCCGCTTTTTTCTCAAGCATGGTTTTTAATAGATATTCTTGAGATATACATAGTGGTGACAGTATATTACATAACTATAGTGGGGAAAGTGACACATTTCGCACGTGTGATATTAAGCACGATGCCGCGTAGCGACTTACCCCATTCCGAAGCTGCTTCGTTTCAGAGACACAGGATGGTAAAATTAAGAGGATGAAAATCGAATTTCTCAGAATTTAAGAACATTTTTTAACGTATTCCTGGAAAAATTGATATTTGATGTTTTTTTCGGAATGCGAAACACGAATACAAGCATCTTTTCACTGTGGTCAATAGAGGGCGCTTACCTTACCTCCTATGGTTTTTTTTTTTTTTTTTTTTTTTTTTTTTTTCGTCGAGGTGGTTGAAATCTTTTATAGACATCATATGGGTCCAATCCCCCATATGATAGTGTGGGAGTCCCCTCCATGGTATACCCACTAAACACTCCACCCCGTTGTAGGCTTCGACGACACTTAGGCCTAGTGGCCCATTGTATCTCACCTACATGCCGTTATCAATTTTACCACATACGACTCATGGTGCCTATTAAGGGAAACTTCAATATGAAAGACCCTTTTCGTTCAGGTTCCTGAAGATTGCTCTTCCGATCCCTGTTCTCGTCTACGAAGAAGGCCAGAAGGTTTCCTTCTCCTACGAGTGACGGGGGAAGGGGTTGGTCCAGCCCTGTGGTGCCCCCTGCACAGGGCTAAGGCTGTTTACTCTGGGATGTCGCCCTGTTTCCCAGAGGCCCCGTTAGCGACACCATTCCTCGGTGCCATCCATCCATCGCCACGGGTTCCCACAGCTTGGATTAGGTTGCCAGAGCCTCGTTGACCAGACCTCGACCACCTAGACAAACATCAGCAAATCGCCCCATCCCTGCCACAGATGTCCACAAATTGTCCCATCTGGAAGAAGATAGCAAAGATGGTCCCAAAATGCTTCATCCGCCAAGCGGCCGCGGCCTGCCTTCCCCACACCACTTGATGGTGAGGTTGGGCTTGAAGGGGAAGAGGAAAAGAGAAGTTGGCCAAGAAAGGCCGATAGAAAGATTGAAAACGGAAGAGAGAAGAGGATATCACCCAAGACAAGTTGAAGTATGGTGAATATCCGGCTAGGGTACCTCGGTTTCACCATTCCCGTACTCACAAGTTGTGAGCCCCTGAGGGGATCGCCAGAGCCTCGTTATCAATCCGCGGCCACATAAGCAGATGTTCACAAATTGCCCCATCCTCGCACTCAGATGTCCACAAAACTGTCCCATCTGAGTGATGATAGCAAAGATGTTCCCAAAATGCTCAATCTGCCGAGCAGCCGCGGCTTGTCCTCCCCGCACTATGGTGAGGTTGGGCTTTAGGGAAGAAGGAAAAGAGGAGAAGTGACCAAGGGGGGCCGATGAAGAAAAAGATTGGAAACTGAAGAGTGAAGAGGATACCATCAAAGACAAGTTGAAGATTAATGAGTATCCGGCTAGGGTACCTCGGGATTGCCATTCCCGTACTCACAAGTCGTGAGCCCCTGAGGGGCTCCTATGGTTTAGAATGGCCATAACTTTTTTATCAGAGTAGTTTCTTACTTTATTGGTTGAGGAAATATTTTTCTGAATATTGTTATGAAAAAAGATACTATTGTGGTAATCCGCTAAAGTAAGCCGATTTCAAGATATTTCGGTTTTTAATGTTTGAAGCACCACCGGAATATTTAAATTATTTTGAATAAAAAATGTTTGCTGTTATCTATCTTTTTGGATGTAATTTGGCCAGAGTTAGCAGTTAAAAAATGGATTTTGAAAAATATTTTCTTGGAGTGTAGGTACTTTTTATTTTTCATATTCACCACCCTGTATCTCGAAAACGGAGCAATTTCGGACTGAGGTAAGTTGCTTTAAATCGGTTTATATTTACCTCAATAATATGTGCTGAGATTCCATACAGACCTTTTGGGAACACACTGTAAAATCTCAAAAATCGTAGTTTCGAGACAATCGCAATTAAAAATTCAAGTCATAATAATATTTGAATCTAAATTTGTATAATACAGGGTGATCCACGGTGGCTGGCCTGTTTGAAGTATCTGGAGAACGAAAAGACAGAACATTTTGAAAATTGGGCGATGCTTCGATAATTGAATATTCTCTATGCGTCTAAGATATTTTCATCGATACAGTGTTGCCACTTCTATCAGAAACAACTAGTAACTTTGTTATTTCAAATAGAACAGCCTGTATTTTATTGCATTTTTAGATTCTTCCTGAATAGCTGATTTCATCAATGCATCACACTTGGGGTCTAGCAGGATTGATTTCAGAGATATAGGGTGTTCAAAATCTAGATTTTTCAATTTTAGGATTTTTTGTGTCGAAACTATTCATTATCGATCAAAACGGCTTACATGTCCCTATCTTAACTTTCGATTCAGTATCTACTGACATTTAATTGGATCAGATACAGGGTGATCAGAATTCTGAATCTTGATGCATCTTGTATTTTTTCCAATTAAATTCCAATAGATAGTGAATCAAATGTTGGGATAGGTACATGTGAGCCGTTTTGATTGATAATGATTAGTTTCGACACAAAAAAAATCCTAAAATTGAAAAATCTCGATTTTGAACACCCTATATCTCTGTAATCATTTATGCTAGACCCAAAGTGTGATACATCGATGAAATCAGCTGTTCAGGAAGAATCTGAAAATGCAATAAAATACAGGCTGTTCTATTTGAAATAACAAAGTTACTAGTTGTTTCTGATAGAAGTGGCAACACTGTATCGATGAAAGTATTTTAGACGGATAGAGAATGTTCAATCATCAAAGCATCCCAATTTTCAGAATGTTCTGTCTTTTCGTTCTCCAGATACTTCTAATAGGCCATCCACCGTGAATCACCCTGTATATACAGTGTGTGCGATTTCAGCCCACAACACCCTCCTTATTAGGAACCCGTCGACCGATTTTCAGAAACAAAAATTCAATAATATGCTACTCAGTGCTCTATACGAAAATGTAGACAAATTTGAAATATCCAGATTTTCAAAGCCTACTTGTTTGTTGAAGGGGTCGCAATTTCAAAAACGACTATTATTATAAATTTTTTCCGGAACAGTGACTTTCCTATTTGATTCAAGCATAGCTGAAATACCCCCATACGAAATTTGGACGCAATATCTCATATAGGGTGTTAGTTATTCAATGGCAAATTCTGTTATTTTAATCTAAGGAGTTGATATAACCGGTGAAGTAGTTATTCAATAGAGGAACACATCGAATACATAAGTTCCATAACTTCTAAAGGAAGATCTCTCTAGAGATTTTCGAATAGAGCTCGTTGAGTGCTATATTATGGAATTTTTGTTTTTGAAAATCGGTCGACATGTTCCAAATTAGGAGGATGTTGCGGGTTGAAATCGCACATATTGTGTATAAATATAAAATATCAGCCCTGCCACAGTAGTTTTCTATTCACTTCGTGAAATCAACAAATTTAGAAGAAAAACTTGTTGAACAAATTATTTTGTTAGGACTTGTTACACTATTCATCTAAATTATATAATCAATAGTATTAAGCGCTGTGATCAAAACTCATCATCCTTATTAGAGGAGTAAGTACTATAACTACAATCACTACAGTAACAATGATATGCCATAGTAACATAAGTTTGTTTTGAGTGTTGAAAATATTTCACAGTTCAAAACTGTAACAAATCTTTATTCTTGTATCGAGTTATTACAGTATGAAATTATATGGAAATGAAGTTTTCTTCAGTTTTGTAGAGTAACTAGCACCATCTCTTGGTCAGTACTGAAACTTCCAGTTGTTACAGTATAGCACGTGAAAGCTAACAAAATGATGAATCAGATAACGTATATCCAACTCAAAATGGTTACTTTTCGACTTGTTACACTATTGAACTAAGGTATCGACAAATTGATTATGCCGGCAACGTCGTACTGACACTGGGAATCGTATTTTAACTCTGTGTGAATGCGGCTCTTCATTACACCATAAGTACGTTAAAGAAATGGTGAAGGAGCCAAGTTAGTTTTTCATTTATTTTTTTCTGAAGTAAACTCTAATCTTTCGGAAAGAAGAAGAAATGATAGACTTCACAGTGAGATAAAACCCACGATAATGGAAACTTCTCCATTATTTCAAGTTTTACACATCACTGTTTGTTAATGTTTTCAACCAATATCTGATCGATTCTATAAAACACCCATACTGAATCTCAATAATGTATTGTTTTGTTTCAGGCTTTGCTGATGGATGTCAAATACAAATTTCCTGTACGTTTTCCTTTCAATCCTTCCGTTATATGCTTAGAAGACATTGATATTCCCGAATCGCTTGGTCTACCTATGCTCGAAAAACTTTAAGCAGTTTTATTTATACTATTTTGGCTATAGATGAAAACATGGGCTCGTATCTGTGAGTATACTAGTTGATTTTTCTTCATCTCCACAGGTATATACTGATATTCAAATTATTGAATTATTGATTGTTTGCTAAATGTCAACCACGAGATGTTTATAAATATGTCAAAAAATTGGGCGCCTTTTAACCAGAGTTATATCAATTGAATTATCTGATTTTTTTGTATATAGTTGTAAAAACTAGTTTCTAATAGATTGAATAAGGACCGAATGTAGAGAAAAATGTACTTTCATGCAACTTGTGATATTTTTTGGTTCCATATACTTATGTATATTCAGTAATTATTTATTAATTTTATTATTACTGTTTTCAGCAAAATTGTTTGATAGAATGTGATGTAGGTAATTGTTATGTAATATTATTAAAATTGGTAGTTGGAAATTACTAACAAATTCTATATCTATACAAAAACCAAAATAATAATAATCATATTTATTATCAATGTACAGGTGAATCAGTCTTACCTTAATTCTTGTCATTTTACATCCATTCAAATAACATTCCAATTTTTCAATATTTATATAAGTGAACATTTTGTATTATTTTTGGTACAATCCTTTTAGTGCCATACTTTCTTCATTAACGTTTTGTTGAAATTGTTGAATTTGAATATTGTTTATATTCATGGTTACCTTTTTACAGAAAACTATATCATATTGTTGGAAATTAAAATTTTATGAATCATGGAGGAATTTTATTGCCTTGCATATTTGCTTAAGAAATAAATCGATAACATACTGTAGGTATATATGATTTTTTTCTAAGAAATATAGTAATTTCGCAGGGGTAATTATAAGCTCTTCACATTTTCGTCCATATGACTCAAGAAGCTCATAAATAATTCAATTTTGACATGTATGGCCATAATGCGATTATATGTCAGTGCATCATATTATAGAACCTGCCAACAGAGATGAAATACCAAACTTTTTTCCTGTCACAGAAAAAACTTCTTTTCCGTCGACCTCGTATTAACGAGTAAGTTCAATGTTCATGAAATCGTTCATAAATGACCCCTATCAATGTTCAATTTGTCTATTGATGCACGATTGTTTTATAGGCAACCAAACATACACCGCGTGCATTCATTGTTTAATGGTTTATCCTATAACTTACCGAATCTGCATTTTAATCGAAAATATGGTTTTCATCGAAGATTTTCCGTTAACGGGTTCGCCTTTCCAAGTTTCTGACACGATTTCAATCCCTGTTTCCTAACACAGGGAATTTATTTTCTATGTTGATCATTTCGACAAATGCCAAATGTCACTAATATTAAATGGCGATTAATGATCTCGAACATCAACGCGCTCGCTTCACTCGCACGTTAAAATTTCTCGATCATTATCGCCCTCATTAATACACTAGTTGGTTAAATAAGTATTAATTCATATATTATGATTATTAATTCACATTAATCAACATAACAGTACTTACCTGAATTGACTGCAGATTGATGTCATGAACTACTGAATTCTTGGCGGAACTAAGTTATTCGAAGTATAATTTGCCCACGAAAAAAATTCTTGTAATTATTTCACTGCACTTTCAGACAATTTATTAGTATTTGATTGCAAATATCTTGGAAAATAAGATACATAAAAACGGACTTCAGATTCTTGTTCAGCACATCTAGAACATAGGTACTGAATGCAAGTTTAAGCCATTCTGACGACTTGAATTGGATGATAAAATTTCAAACGGTTTCTCTTTCACACTCAAAAATCAACTTTGTCTTAGAGCCTTTAATTTTGGTATACACGGTATTCAGGGAATTCCGTAGTGAAAGGTAGAAGCACAACTCTCCAGATTTGCTAGAGTAGCAATTTTTTCATTTCCTTGCGGTACTTTTAGTATAAAATGAAAGAAAGAAGGAATGAGAAAAACTACAATGATTACATTTATAAGCAAATATATTTATAAATATCTTACACTCAATTACATGCCTAGTTCTATGTACTGCAAACGACTTGCAAAGAACTAGCCTACCAAAAACATCCATTTAATTCGATACAGCTTTTTTGTATATTCGAACTTTGTTCAGCTTATAAATACTACAGTATCTCAAGTAGCCTACGAGTTGAGCGATGTAAACGTCATAATATTCTTCTTTACAATTTATACAAATTTGCTAGAGAAAAGTACAATTAGCTGAGGTTAGAGAAACTTCGTTCAGAGTTGTCCCGCTGTCTTTACATTTCAACTGGAGTTTTTTATTACTTCATCGGTCATCAAAAAGTGAAATCAAAATTTTCCATTAGTTATATAATATAGGTATTTCCCAACACTAGCAGTAATCGTTACATTCAATTCATATCACTCTTTTCACATAATTTCAGGTCAACTTGAATGAAATTATGCAGAATCACAAACGAGATTGAGAAAATAGCATTTTTCTACGATCGTGCAAAATCTCACTACTTTCAGCACTATTTAGTGTGCACAAGTGCACAGAATAAATTCATTTCTCTATTGATCACAAGTTTAACCTGAAGAAATATATTTTTTAATTCCAGTAAACATACGAACATGTTAACTATAGGTACTTTATATATCATTGATTATTATTCATCGAGCATCACTGTCTGAAATACATAGTGTTATTCTCAAAACTGAGGGATTTTTTTAAGATGTAGAATTCTTTGAAATACTGGGTACACCACGACCCTACACTATCTTTATATCGAGAATCAGTAGCAAGAAATGTATTAAAATGTCCATGCTTATAATTGAGATTACGCTAATTTCGACAATGCAGTGTTGCCGCATCCAAAAAGCAAAAACTATGCTATTTCAAATGGAACACCCAATACTTCATTGCATTTTTAGATTCTCCTTGCAGAGCTGATTTCATCAATATATCACACTTGAGGTCTAGCGGTTTACAGAGATATAGGGTGTTCAAAGATTTTTCAACTTTAGGAATCTTTTGTATTGAACCCATTCATTATTGGTCGAAATGGCTTACTTGTCCCTATCTTAACTTTTCATTTAATTTTTTTTTATTTGTGCATCGCTATTTCAAAGTTGGGAACCAACTCTCCAGAAGTCGAAACTTGTGCGGGGTTAGGAAGAGCGGGACCTAGAGCTTATAGTGGAATCACTTCTAGGGCATCGAAGTGCTGTCAGGATTACAACCATGAATCAGTCATTTTTAAGAAAAATGCTCAGCCGATAGCCGGATTCGAACCGACAGTACCTTCGCATCGTGAACGGCTATCTAGCGAATTTCAGCGCATAGACAAACTCGGCCACGACTGATATTTAATTAGAAATAATACAGGGTGGTTCAAGATGCAGAATTCTGATCACCCAAAATGGTAAATATTCTTGGAATGTAATAGGACCAATTCTATTGGTGTTTTTGCACGTTATTTTACAACTTTTATATGGACAATGTTTGGTGATTTTGTCTATTTTAATGAATTCTACATCCTGTTAAAAAAATGTCTCACTCTTGAGAACACCCTGTATGAAATAAATCACTGAAGATGAAGTGTGTCTATCAATAACCTTAGTAAATTGCTCTAGTTGCGATATTGAAATTGAAATTTACTCAAAGAAGTAAATGACTATACTTCTATAAAAATTACGTCAAGTCAAACTGTTCATGTTATTGTATAACTATTTGAAGTGTTAGTAATATTTCTAGTAATATGAAATACTCTCCAATAGAATTTGAAATGAAAATAAATTTAATTCGATCGTAGAAAAAATGTTGTGTGCAAAATGTGTAAAAAGAATATTTGTTGTACTCAGCATGATTGCAGCTCTTAACATCGTCTTCGAGCTGCAAACTTATTGCATCATGCAACAAACATACACTTTTTGCACTAGTTGCAAAAATAACTATTTTCTTCATAAAAATGGCAGGAAAAATGCATGGATATAGGACGGCTTTTGATGCAAAACTGGTCGACAATTAGACAGTTTTTATACAGCCTAGGAAATTCACTTCCCAACGGGTTTCAGACTGTTTTCCCTAGGAGAATGAACATCAATAAATGATGTGAATTTTGAGTGTTGATATAAGACCTCAGTAGATATACAACAATTATGTGCCTAGTCATATTTGACACAAGAGTGATATATCATGAAATGTTTGCATATAATCTGCATATCCTATTGAAAAAAAAATTCTCTTGTTTGAATAAATAATAATTTATTGATGTAATTACGCATTCTCGCAGACTGTACTGTAGAACGTTATAATTTTTATCGAAGCTTAGTGCTGATTACATGCACATTCAAATTAGTTTCGAATTTTCCTTTTTATCAAACAAAAAAACAAGTAAAAAAATCCAATAAGGTTGTATATGTAGTGTGCAAAACACGTGATAGTGAGTAGCAACCATTTCAATTATCATTCCAAACATGCGAGTGTGTGATTTTATTCCTATTCTCAATATGTGTGCTTCAATACCTGTGCTTTTTCCTCTCAACTAAAATTTCCATGATGACATTATCCTATTCGATGTTTTTTTTTTAGATTGTCGTAAAAACAAATAGTTTTGCTCTAATTTTTAAGATAACACAACCATTCCAAGTTTATTTTCAGTTCCGAAATGATTATTTCCGTTGGCAGATTACATTCGAATCACGAAAAAAACTGTACCGGGTGTCATTTTTGTATCGCGCATCCAGGATACCGCATTCAGAACGCTCGATCTCGGCATGTATGGAACGCTCATGAGTACGACAACGCTCGGAATACCTACCGTACGCTCGATTGGCTGAAGTCTCTCTTGCATTTCTCTTTTCACTAAAAAATTTCAAAGTTAGCGATTCGCACAGCTACTAAGTTTTCGTCTGCCATTCCTGTGGTCCAGAGTTCAATCCTCAGGAAATTCAACTTTTTTCTATTTTTTGTTGTTGTTGTCTCTAGTAATTTTGA